CGAGCCCCGCCGGCTGAGGGCCTCCATCGAGGGTTTTCCGATTGAACGAGAGCTGGAGCCTCCGGCGTTTCCTTTTGAGGGGGTGGCGAGGAGGGGAGCGGCAGGTGGAGGTAGTGGTGGCGGCGGGAGGGATGGGTCGTCGAGCCGAAGAGGACAATTGCGGGACGAGGGAGATGATGGTTCCGACGGCGACAGCGACAGCGACAGCGGCAGCGACGGCGACGGCGACGGCGACAGCGCCAGCGACAGCGATGATAGCAGCAGCAAGGCTTCCGACGACGACAGCGATGCCGGGGGCGACGCGGAAGGGAACGGGGGTGGGGACGGGGCCTTGGAGCTTGCCGTCCCCGCCGGCGGGGGAGGAGCGGGGGATGGACCGCTTGCGGAAGGCGTCGCCGTCGCCGGCCATAATTCTCAACAGATCTACGACCCTTGCTTTGTCCTGCCACTGCTGGAGTGGGGCTTGAGGAGCGTCGTCGTAAAGGCGCAGGCGGTGAGTTTCGCCCTAGTCGGCTCTCGCGGCAGGACCAGGAGAGTGTCTTAAAGGAGGGGGGGGGGGGTTCTTGACGTGATTTTCGAAGAATCATATGTGTCTGGGGCATCGTCACAACAACCGTAAGAGTCGGAGAGATGGCACCCCCGTGTTAGCGTGTTTGTGTAGCGTATTGCTCCACAACCAGGGGGGTACCACTACCGAACAGAGTGGTTTTGGAAACGTCTCGTCTAGGGCATTCCTGAGAGGTATCGGTTGGTGTTCGCACCCCCCTAGTTGTGGAGAAATACGCTACAAAAAAACGCTAACACGGGGGTGCCATCTCTCCGACTCTTACACTAACACGGGGGTGCCATCTCTCCGACTCTTACACTACCTTTTTTTCGAAAATGCCGTCCCTTACAACCACCGACCGCCCCCTATCCCGAACCGCAACTTTTTTATTGTTTTTGGGCTCCTCGGATCGTGCGTTCCACCCTGGAGAAGGTGTGCGAGTCGCTGCTGCTCGGGTACGTGATCACGGCAACCTCGAGCCTCAGCCTGTCCACTCGAGCCTCGGCGTACTCGTGCCTCTTCCACCTGCTGGAGGCGCTCCAGGAGCAGGAGGCCAAGACGGCGAGCTTGTGGACAGCGACGTCGAGTGGAGGTGGCGGCGGAGCGGCGGGCTTCAAGGCTAGGAAGGCGGCGGAAGCGGCGTTTCGGCAACGGCCCCAGCTCACGTTGCTCCTGCGGTAATGAGGCTGCGTAGTTTGAGGGTGTTTCATGCTGTTGTTGGTCAGCTATTTTCTGTTGTTGCGATGGCACTCGTGTTCGATTGTGCAAGAGAATGTTTCAGCTGCAGTAGTTTAGACAACCCCATGAGCCAATTGTCCGAACTAACGGGTCCTCTGACCCTAAGTTCGATTACTGCCGCTGTAGGCCGGAGGGAAGACTCCTGTTGCAGGTTTCAACGAGCACCTGGCGTGGATATCCGGATCTCCCGAGGACCATATCATCGGACTGAACCCGGCAGCCTAATTTCACCGGACTTTCCCCCTCCTTTTCATCCCACAGATGCCTCAGAGACGGAGTAGAAACCCCTCTCCAGCGAGTCCCTTGCGCCGTTGCGGTGGTGCTGGCTAAGGCATCTGAGGCGTTGGCTGCAAGTCCTGGCAGCGAGATATACAGGGTCGTCAACAGGTGCGGGGTGGCTGGTTTTGGTACAGCAGTCTGGAGTTTCGATTGTTTCTGTTTTTTTCCCGCCATAACTGTCTTTATATCATGAAGCTCATCGTGTCGGCCGTGGGATTCAACCTGTTTCGCCGTGTGACGGCCTTGACTGCGCAATAACGGTCTTCATCTACCCCCGTCGTCCCCACTTGGCTCACCTACTGTTGAGTGAAGATTGTGTGCACGTGGTCAATTCGAGAATCAGCTTTTCCTTGGATTCAACGCGTTTGTTTTGGCTCGAAAAACACCTTCGGCCCACACCTACATCCCATTGGTGCCATGTAGTACGTACGCGTTGTTCATTGTTATGATGCTCATCGTCATGGCTATCTTGTTCTGTGCTTTTGCTGTTGTTGTTGCTGTTGCTGCTGGTGGTGTCTATTTTCGTTTTTTTTTATGTTCCGTTGCTCATCGTCACGGCTCTCTTGATCGGTTCTGTTACTGTTTTATTTTGCTGTTCGTCTCGGCTATTTCCGTCCTGTTTCCACAGCTTCTTGCTGCACCGCCCCTTCGTGCGCCTCGACGAGCTCCCCCTCTTCGACGTCCTCTTCACGGGAGTTCAACAGGGGGAGGGGGGCCGAGACGGCGGCCGGGGGGGCCACGGGGACACCCTGGGCGCCACCTCCGCGTCAGACCCCGGTGCCGCCTCGAACAAGGCGCGGGTTTGGATGCTGCGGGCCCTTCGAGACGGTGAGTGGCGAAGATTTGTTGGTTTTCAGCTCCCGTGCGAGGCGTCCCGAGATAGGCAGACTGTGGGTATTTGTCGAGGGACAATGTTATTGTAGTACATGTCATGTCGTTGACGGTCGTGCGACGACGGGGCGCGACGTCTTTGCAGCTAGCACGCACTGCTATGTGGTGGGCGTGGGTTTTGCATCGTCGAAAAATTGTTTGGACGGCAGTCTATGCACCTCGCGTCGTGTTCTTCTGGGCACCGCATAGGCAGCAGGGGTCACACGACGCCTTTTGGTGCGGGACACTGGGCAGATTTTTAATGTGCTTCACGCACCCGTTCGTCACACGACGCAAAGTTCACACACCCGTTCACCATTCGACGCAAACCGCCGCACCCTCTCCTCCGCCTTCACCTGCATCCACGTCTTGCATTAAAACGCGGGAACACGGAAAGGTCTCCGCACGAGCGAGGACTTGGAGCTGGCCGCCGGCAAACGCGCCGTGCCGCTGCTCCTGGCCATGGCCGACTCCCCTGTGGGGAACGGCGACGTGGTAATTCAAGAGCTTATCGTCGACATCCTTGGCAGGGTGGCTTCTCTCGAGGCGCTCGGGGTCAAGGTACGGGTGTCCCTCGAAGATGGCGACTGCGGTAGAGCGTGGAGGGATGCGACGCTCGGTTGCCGGGCTTACCACGCGACACGCATACCTACACGGACAGGGGGTCCAGGTCGTGGCCTCTAGAATCGTTTCGTTGCCACCGAGCTTGGCGTCATTGATTGGCCAGCGCGGGCGATGGTGGTAACTGCGGCACACAAACACACGAAGGTTGTGCCCCAACAACAGGCGCGATGTGGCTTATTTCGCCACGGCGGTTGTGCCCGTACGCCCATGCGACAGTGAAGCTTAGACGGTATCGGGCGTGTACCCTACATTTCCTTCCCCCCTCTTGCGACCTTTGTACTGTTAACATTCGCCCCCCCCCCCCCCCGCCCTGGTTATCTCTCTTCGGACAGGTACCTTCTTAATTCCATCGGGCTTGTCGCCTGGGGGCGCATGGTCCTGGGGCGCAGCCTGCTGGCGACGAGCTCCCCTGCCCGCCCGCCCAAGGTTAGCGCGAGCACCCCCGGCAGCGATAGACCCAAGTCCAAAAGCGCGGCGATGGCGGCTGCGGCGTCCACTGCGGCGGCGGGGGGGTTATCGGCGCATGTCCAGGAACGGTTGCTGTTCCTCCTCGCGCGACTGCTGCGATCCGGAAGACGGCTGGCCCCCCGCCCCCCTGTTCTTTTGGAGGACGAGTTCTTGCTGCTCGCGCCCGACGTGGTCCGCTGCGCCGCCGCCGCCGCCGCGGCGGCGGCAGCAGCGACTGCGGCGGCAGCGGGGGGGGGGACATCTTCGAGCCAATTGGCCGGGAAGGGTGGGGGAACTCGAGGTGGTGGTGGTGGGCGGGGGGGGCGGGCGGGGGGTGATTCCGCCGCCGCCGCCGCCGCCGCTGTGACCCACGCGGATGTGGCCGCAAGAGCGGTGGCGCTTCTGGAAGAAGTGCAGCTGGGGGAGAGGCTACCGCCGGCGGTCGCCGGCGAGGACGATGATGACGGTGCCGTGCTGGGCAGCGAGGAAGGAGGCTCGGACGGCCGGTTACGCGGGGGCATGCGACTCACTCTTGACGAGGCCCTGTCTCTCTCTACGGCCGTGGGCGCGATGGTCGAGTCGGAACCGAAGGCTTCAGCGTCGTCGTCGTCGTCGTCGTTGTCCGCCCCCGACTTGAAAATGCGAGTGGGTCGCCTGCTGGCTTCTCCTGGAGCCGTGGAGGCTTCAACCGGTACGGCGGCGGCGGCGGCGGCGGCGTCAAGACACGGAAAATGACGGCCGCCGCTTACCACTCAAGTTGGGCCGCCCCTTTGTTCGGGAAGGAAGACGAAGAGTTCGGCTGGTCGGCAATGATTGTCAGGAGACGACGGTGATGGCGCATCGGGGTTGGGCTGTTGGAAAAGGTGCTGCTTCGAAAGTAACATCGTCGGACAAACGTCGCGAATAGAGGCGAATAATGACGGCAGGGCGTGCGGCCGAACAGGCATCATTTTCTCTTGCGTCCTGCGTCCGAGCAGAATAATTTCTGTGACAACCCTGAATGCAGAGCTCTCCTCTTGTTGGTACCTGCTGCTATGTCGAGCTGTCACGAATGCAGTAATATGGAAGAAGAGCAGGACATAAGACCATGGACATGTTCAGCTGCTTCCTATCGTCGATGCGCTTGTTGCTCATAGAATCTGCCCCACCACCGCGGGTGGAGTGCGAGGTAGATCAGCGATTATTTGGGGGGGATCGCCTGTTTTCTCGAAGCACCACTCTCAGAGAGTTTCAAAGGGTTTCACAGGAAGGGGTTCAACCTCGGCGAAGGACTCGTGTTTTTCTAAGCTGTGCCCGTAGAATCATGCGAATTGTGCTGGGAGGCTACTGAATGAATACATATCTCAGTGTGGCTGTTGGGGGTGGCGCGGGCTTCCTTGCTGTTGATATATATATATTTTTTGTCTTCACTTCAAATCAGCGCTCACAGCACTAGTGCCGTTTACTCCGACCCGTGGTCACACAGAAGAGCCTCCCCTCCTGCGGTACTTTGCCTTCGATAATGCTCGTTTCCGAAACCCTTGGATCTTGGCATTTGTTTTGGTGTTTCTGGTCGCGCTAAGGTATTTCCTGTATACTATACGCTGCGTGTGTGGATGTACAGTGTCAATCAGAAGGCCGTGAAGATCCCCCGTTCCGAAAAATTGTTGTCTACGAAACCCCCAGCGGCACACAAAGGCGAACAACACGGGGAGTCATGGATGAAATAGGCCAACCTCCGGACCCCCGGAGGGAATATCAAGCTGGGGAAAGGGGGATGAGAACTGCGCCGCACCCCACGACATCCTTCGCCCACACTATTTCTTTTTGCTTTTTACCCAATGAATCCAGCCTTTGGAATGATGACCAAAGTCATCAGCAACAACGCGAACGGCCCGAGGTTCACCGGGAACATTCATGAGGAAGACCAGAATGAAACCAGAGAGAAACCCAAGCCGTACTAGGGTCCGCCTTGTTAGAAATATTGCTATCTCGAAGCGGGATGCGCCCAATGGGCACGGTACTCTTTTAGGGCGGCGCAGTGGCTACCGATCGTGCTTCTCCCACGCCAGAGGAGGCGTCTGCGAGGCTTTATTTGTCTGACCCAAGACTCGATTTTGGGTATTCGTTGAGCCCCCAACCCCGCAGAATGCTTGTATTCTCGGGCGCATCGACACATGAACACCTATCGTTAAGAGGGCGACCAAGAACGAGGTTCAAACTCCGCCGAGCAGCGATGCGCACAAAATACGCTTGAAACGACGGGCGAGACAGCCATCTCGATCGTTCCGCCATGTTTTCTATACGAACAACGGTACTTAGATAGGCAAGTGTTGCCTGTGCGATGACACACTCACCTACTCACTCACTCACTCACTCACTCACTAATTCACTCACTCATTCATTCACTCGTTCGCTCACATATTCACATGTATTCACTCATTTGCTCATATATTCACTCATCGTTCATATATTCTTTCGTTCATTTCGTCACGTTCACTTCGCTCACCTAGTCCAAGCAGAAGGCGTGCCCCCCGAGCGGACAGAACTCGCACCAAGATGGCCGCATAGGTCATGCAGGAAAACAATACGCACGAGAACCCGAGATATTTCCGCTCCCTCAGGCCCTCGACCCCCTTCCACTTCACCAGCACGAGCAGGATCAAGACTTGCGAAGGACCGCACCGCCATCATCGATAGGAAGCGAGTCTGGGTACTGAAAACGAATTCAAGACAACCACACCTCCCTGTTGAAATACGTCACCGGCTATTCCTCATCTATCTGTCTTGCTGTTGTTATCCAGTAAGCCGACAGAGCACCGGTCATGTGTGACTCTTGTCAAGGCGGATGCCGCGCTTAGCGGTGTTCTTCCCCGCTTTGGCCATCTCAAGTCAGGTGATGCTCGACAATAATTGTTCTATTTCGGTGATACATGTACGTCGAACAGTGTCCCGCGGCAAACGGAGTATCTCCTCGTCGCAGATTCCAATCTTTCAACACGTTGAATCGCCACGCGACAAAAGACTGATCGTACTGCTGCGCTTTTCCGGCTCGTGCCCTGGATGCGAGATTGCGCAGTCGGTCTACATGGAATGGTCGGGAGTGTCCAATTGCTCACGGGAGCGCGGGCTGACCCCACTCCTCATGGTCGCGGCGGTTCACGGCGCAGCGTGGCGGCGTGTATTTGAAGCGGTTGTCATTTTCCGCGAAAGCCAGGTTAGGGGGCGGTTGTCGAGCCATCTAGCGGTGAGATTAGATTGATGCTCTGCTTTCGTGCATTTGGTTGCGCGGTACACTTACATGTATCGATGCCCCCGATAGCACCGAGACCTACTACAAGGACAGGGTGGCCGTTCATTTCCGTCTGTCGTCCTCCGCTTCATCAGGTATAGGTATGGTGCTGGTCGCTCCGGTGGTCTAGCTTGTGTCTTCGAAACCTTCTAGAGGTCAGATCAGGGGTTCGAATCCCGGCGTAAGCGAGCTTTTCTTGCAAAGTGCGTTTTTCTCTCGCCTCCGCCCCTGGCCTAAATAGTGGATAGCGCTAGTTCGTGTGTACACAGAGAAAAGAGAGTGCTGAACCCTTCTCGCATTAAAAATCGAAGGCAACGTATCGCAGGAGGGGAGGGTAGAGGAGGGCCCTTCTGTCTGACCACGGGTTGGAGTAAACGGCGTTAGTGCTGTGAGCGCTGATTTGGAGTGAATACAAGAACAAAATTATTAAATAGCGAGAAGGCAAATTCTCGCAGTATCCATGATGCAATATGTCTTCGTCCTCTCCTCATGCGCCGACAGATGAATTATCGGGCATCGGGATGAAGCAAGTGGTGGCAACGCACATCGTGAACACTAGCGTAGAGAGAGATGCGACACTATCTTCTCACACGCCGGTATCTGGAAGATATTTTCCGGGAGTAGGAAATGTACTGGGACCAACGGGGTCGAACGCCTCGAAAAAATGGGATTTGAACCAGAAAGCATTTTTCTTGTCCTGGAATCTTCGGAATCCTTGTTCGTGCTGGGTGGACTGTTCGGTAAACGCGTTGCCCCTACCACGCGGGGTCGACACAAAAAGGAAGAGCGAAAAGATGACGCCTCCAAAATCATTGCGCGAAATCTTCGGTCCGCTGTATGTAGGTAGGCACGTACCAATCGTGGAAAGAAGGTTCGAGCATAATTCAGATGATGGGAGGAAGTTGCGGGGCGAATATGGCGGTGATCAACTCTCGAATGTGCTTTCCAGGGCAGCCACACGGCAACCGCATCATGTTCGCACGACGAGTTGCCAAGTTTCGTTCTTGCCATATGTTTTGGGTGCTGCACTTGCCCTTTTGGGGTCGACGTGCATCTGTTCATACATGTATGCTACAGCATAGTATAGTTGGACATGTATTCTTCGCGCCAGGCCTTTTGAAGCCGAAATCCAACTAGCGCTGGCTAGTCTAATGGTTTGACGTCGGTTTCTGGAAAAGTTAGTGGTGGGTTCGTGACCACTTTGATGTGGTTTTTTTCCTGAGACCCTGGGTACTCTCGGCCAGAACATGGGTGACGGAAGGACCCGTGGACCCTGGAACATTCTGCAGGATGAGGGTGTTAGTCAATGCTGACTAGTATAATGGTTTGATTTCGGCTGCTATAGGCCACAGTACAGACTCCCAGTCAACCACGAGAAAAAACGTTCCTCGACCCGCTCCGAGCGGTGAATTGCTATCGTAGACCTGTGTTGTCCCAAATTGGTCCTTTGTATTTGGTCGAAGCGCTTGGGGCGGGATTTTTGGGTTGAGCTGAATTCAGGGTTGCAGCCTACACATCCAGCGTAATGATGTTATGACCAAACCAACCCGAGCTGCTTTCTAAAGCATCGCACGGTCGAAACTGTGGTTGGCGTCCAATGATACTACGGTATGCTGCGGTTACTGTCGTCACCGCAAGAAGAGGGGAAACCGGGGGAGTGCGACAAGAGGCGGTTGTCGAAGTCGGCCGGTACCTACATAGAATACATATGATCCAGAAGAAGTGTGTGCTGCACGATTCCTGTGTCAAGCATCCCGTGCCCATCCTCGCGCATCGCGAGACCACATTCGTTCTTGGAGGAATGTCGAAATTGCGCCTCTTCTAATCTCTCTCGCTGGAACGAGGAAACCCTTTTAGTGAGCACCCATGCAAATTGGAGATCGATGCATGGTCTTGGGATAGCTTTCGGCATAGAAGACGGCAAACGGGCATGTACAAATCACGCCTTAAAGGGCGAAGGGCCTAATTGGTGTCGCTTCGTGGTATTGCAGTGAAAGATAGAATCAACGCATGCACCTTGCAGGGATGTTCAAAACATAACCTGTATTCATTGGAACTGTCAACGATTGGCTGTGCCCATTTTCGCTGCAACTGCTGGGCTGCCGAATTTGGTTCATCGAAACGTCGACGAGGAGTCACTTGTCAATTCAACCCATCCATCTACCTGTCAATCCTCTGAAGGTCATTGCACTTGTCGAATTCCCACCTCCCACCTTACCTCACTTACACTCGAGACCACCACCGGCTCAGGGTCAAGCCACTCCGGAAACAACTTAGAAAAGGTAAGGTAGACAGGACAGGAGATAACTTCATTTATGCTCCCGTTTGAACGGCTTCGACAGAATGGTGTGAGAGAGAAAGACATGTGGGTATGAATATGTCTGTTCATCATTCCCCCGGTATTGGCGACGGCTGTAGGGTGAGCTGCATTATCATCCCCATCTCGCTCGACTCGTGGCTATCGTTGCAACACTGCTGTACAATCAAATGAATTATGTCAACGCGCGCCGTCTACATGACACCGTTCTCACCTTGGATACCTTTTGGTGGTAGTGGCGGATGCGGATTCAGGTGCTCTTAAGTATTCCGCGATTCCATTGTGGAAAGACGCGAAAAACGTTTGGCTGCTGTTCCCTGTGCCTGTTCGAGCTCCGCGTCAAAACGAAAACCCATGCCGAACGCGCGACTAAAGGTGTAAGCAAGGGTACCTGTCTCGTTCATGCTACGTCCACAACGATTTGCCCCCAGCTTTTCCAACCGACGGCTGGAAATGTATGTTCAGAATGAAACGACTTGTCTTCGCTAACTACTAACCGGAGGCGATACGTCTTCGTTTGTGCCCATCTGACAGGATCGTTTCTTCATGGTTCGACATGGCATCTGACCAAGACAACGTTCAACGAGTCCAAACGCCCTCATCTGAACCCCCCTCCTCGAGCCGGAAGAATTGTGACCGTTGTGTCGAGAGGAAGGTCAGTGGAGAGGGTCAGTAGAACAGGGAAAGGCAGCTCAGTGTGGGCTGGTGCTACGTAATGGTTCCGCAGGTTATCAATGTCGGACCTTGGGTATCCTGATAGCTTCCAGCCCGCTGCATACAGTACAGTAGCTCCAGGCAGAAATCGGCGCCGCACAAGTTGTCAAGAACGCGTTAATCCCCAGTGCATTTTCTTGCCGACGGACGAATCTACAAAACGTCGTGACATGTTGACTCTCGGTTCCAGTCAGGTGTCCTGAGTCTCTGTGTCGGCAACTGGCAGCAGTGAGGCATCCGTCTGCTGTTGCTGACACTACTGTACACTCTTGTCGCTGTACACTTTATTGCATGACGGTCTCTCGTCAAACAAGACTAGACCATATCTCAACTGCACACCCACCTCACACGTGCGCAACTATTTCAATGACAAGAGCCAGGAAATCATGATGGTATGGCGAACCCTGTACGTGAGGAACGAAATACTCCAAGCATTCGAGATGAGAGAAAAATGTAGGTCATCCTCTCAGAGCCTGCTGTGGTTCCACTGTTTTTTTTTCTCGTGGGGGTCTCTTACGACCGTGGAATACCGACGTACGTGTGGCAGTCCACCTAATTCGGGGAGTTGCTGCAGCATATGCGTCTGCGAGCGCTCGCTTCCGACTCTACGGCGGAACGCATCGCCATCACTCGGGATGCCGCTCTCTTTTCACTTGCGCACCATTCTATGCGTCGGGGGTTTGACCTCTCCTTTACGTTGGGGTCGCAGGTACTCCGGCTGCCGGAGTCGCGGGGGTTCATTTTCAACTTCCTCTTTGGAAAGACTTTGCGGGCTTCGACCGAAGCCATTGTAGTGCTTGCTAAATAGCGCGAACCGGGACGCATGTGCCGTTAGAGCCGTGGCGGAGTACATCCTCGCCGAACAACAAGTAGGCTGGGATTTGTCATCGGGCTACCTGTTCCCGTCGGTTCTGGACGATGGTAGCCGAGGGAACTCGAAGCTAGTGGCGACCCAGATGACGTCGTCCCTTCAGGCGCACCTCAGGGCGGCCAGTCTGCCCGCCCATTTTTTCATGCACTCGTTCCGAGTGGGAGGATCGTTGAGCCGGTCCATGGGCGGCTCCGCCATAGAAGAGATCATGCAGATGGGGGGTTGGAAAACGGAGTCGATGGCGAAGTACTACGTAGAGCCGTCTTCCAAACGGCAGCGGGCGGTCAATTATACGGCCACCAACCTGGAGCCATTATCGCCGGCGGTCGAATCCGACTTCGCCGCCTGCGCTCGCCGTAAGCCGTCGTAATTATCCACGAAGCGGAATACACGAAAGTTTGGGTGAATCAACCAGGCTCCAGGCCAGTGGCCAAGGACAACACACGGCTAGGAAAGTATGGGTGGGACCACGGGCCGGAGCTGGAGGCCTCATCCCAAAAATCCAATACTTACATTCAATGATCCTAGGCCAAAAGCAAAATACAACAGTAAAATCTGGGCTACAACCGAATTCAAATTCGGCACGAAAATGAATGGAGGCGTCTGCCCTGATAATATGTTGAGAAATGCATACAGCCGATCATTGTCTTTCTCCCTACCGTGAATACGAGAGAACAACGGGTAGGAGAGGAAGAAATTTGAGACCGCCCACCCTCCCTACTCTGAAAGCTTGATGCTTCTGGATCATTTACAGATTCATTATCGCGCCGACCACAGTCGGCGCGATAGTGCATCCATGGGACTACCGGCCTCAGAGCTGGAGGCCTCATCCCAAAAATCCAATACTAAATGATCCTAGGCCAAGAGCAAAATACAACAGGAACAGTGCCTTCCCTGCAGTATGAACCAGCACACGTGAGCCTTGATATGGGTTTGGCGAGTGTCAATGACCCAAGTGCTTGCGTCGTGTTCCCGCCGCTACAGATCAGATGCTCTGCGCCGTTTGGCAAGGACATGCCCTGCCAGTCGTGCCGAAAGAATGGCCTTGATTGCGTCTTCTCTGACCGGCAGAAGTCGGGGCCCAAGGCGACAGGGGCCAAAGGAGTGCCGAGCTCACCGCGAGTGAGATCCGTCACCCGGGGCAGAAGGGTGGACAGGACCATCGAAGAACCTACGAGGCCAGGGACGGGGAGGGCATCGACATGGACCCTTCTAACGGTACGAGATCTACACACTAGGCGCTGCCGGGGCGGCTTGCACCCAATTGGCTAGGAACTCTACCCATCGGTGGTACTCAATGGATCCCGAGTGTGGAACGAATACCGTACTCTTCCCCGTACTCGTCCCCGCTACTTCTCATTTATTTGTCACTCGTGAATCATTGTTCGTCGCGCTTTCAACCTTTCCCATAACAGCCCAATATTAACCAACGTTCGAACCGATCATTTCGTCGTCTTTCTTTCTCCCCGTCGTCCGCTTGTCGCAACAACTAACAACACAATACCCCACGAACGATTCTTCGCGTCAAATATTGCAACTGCGGCCGAATGAGCTCACTTTGTGCTCTGTTTCATTATACGTACCCTCTTTGTTAGACCACTCCCTGCTTTCGTACGCCAGCCAACCTGAACCCGCGCACGAAAAAGATTGCACCGGAAGTTTTTCAGTACTCTGCTTGCGCTGTGTACCTTGATCTACAAAGGACGTTGAAGTCTGGTGAACCCTCTTCACCCGTCCCCGTCAACCCTGCTCTTTTTTTCCCAACCAGTCTCTATATAAAGCGGAGAATGCTACATCGGCATCCACCCTCGATGCGAGCGAGGACCTTGCTTCCCGGTGGACAACGGCATACTGGTGAGTCGTGGAGGTGGCTGTCTCCCGCGTGAATGGCATAGATGAATAGTGATCGAGAATGTGATGAGACTGCATTCCTCAGCGTTGCTATACCGTACTTCTATTATTCAAGTTCGTGTTTCCCGTCAGGTTTCCCAAACTGGTGGAGAGTGAAGTGAGTTGAGGAATACTGTTAAAAGGAAGCTACATAGGGAGTTGGAGTTTGACGGACCCCCCACACGTATATTCGTGCGGCTGTTCGAAGATGGATTTTCCACACCGTGTTGCCCTTCTCTCGCGTGGCCGATTGCATGCATGCCCGCCAGGACACTCGCGGATCACAAAGACAGTACCTTCGATGCCGAACAGACGTCGGTCACCGGGGCCAAGGCCAACAACAGTAGTCGCCAGAAGGAATTGCGAACGGACATGCACGTCATCGGTGATAAGTTGACCGTCAGGTGGGTCTTTCACGAATGATATGCTGCTGTACTTACGGGATATTGTCTGCTTCGTCGCTCTCTTCTCATTCGCACCGTGGACAACGTGTTTTCCTGTAAGTCACAGCAGCGTCGTGGAGGGTAGTACGAATTTCGGTAGAGGAGGGGTACGTCAGCAATACCGAATTGAAGCCACCCAGAACGCAGGCAGCGCTCATGGGACATGTTCGCAATGGTCAGAGATGTCCATATTGAGCTGAGTAAATAGTGTTGGGGACATACTTCTGTTGCTGGCTCTAGAGATACATCTGTACTTTGGAGAGAACTGATATCGATCGACTGGGATTGACGGAACGATATATCCTCCAATGATATGCATCGACGGATGTGTTCATGGATGGATTGGATTGAAGGATGAACTGGAGGATAGATGGATTAAAGGAAATAACGGACGAAGTGGATCGAAGGATGAAAAATGGTCGATTACAGTTCTCTCCGAGTCAGCACAGTGGTCTATCCATTTCGTGACCGAGTGAATTACGTCGGGATGTAATTTTTCCAAAATGGCTCTCCTATATAGACGACGAACGCTCAAAACTCCGAAATCGTTCCACACGAACGTTACGGTACAAAATATACCAGTATTGACCAGTCTCTTTGTCTCCGTCTTGGTTCCAATACAGTACTGTGATCGACTTTGCATCGGAGGCAAAGCACACCCTTGATCGTTTTTCATACAGAAGACCCGGAATTGCGAGTGTTCCCTAGTGTAGTGTAGTCACATAGTCAGCCATGGACCACATGTACATGTGGCCATAAGAGATTGTCCCTCTTTCCCAGATCCAAAGTGAAATACTCGTAGGTACAGTAGACGCTTTTGGAATCATGATCGTCTTATGTACCTTCACGACCACAGCGAGAGAGTATGGCCCATCAAGAGCCCGTTGCGCATGAGCGTACTGGATGTTCAACATAAAAACTTATAGGTCCCCAGCATTCGCAGCGGGTGTTCCTCAAAATGATTGAGGATACTCTTGCGAGATAGATGCGGTTTACGGAAACAACATCGATGTAGGCGACAGCTCTGTGCATCATAATCTTTCTCTTTGACCACATGAAATGCCTTGACCAAACAATCGTCACACGAAATGTGTGGTTTTGCCTGCATGCAATTCCCATCTTTTGCTGAAGGGACATGCTTTCCAACACTTTCAATGACGTGCAACCTGATGAAACGAATCTGTACGATGATGCTGGAAGGTTTTGCGTAACGAGAATACGTTTAACAACTTGAACGAAATGGGATCCGATCAACGGAAACCACGATGATGTTGTTTTGTACTGCTTGCCACATGAAATGCCCGTCTTTTTGCCAACCTAACATTCGTTCAACAACGTGATGAAATGCAATCCCAAAAGAAGAATCATTATGATGCATACGACGGCGGACAATAGCGAGTTGATCCTGGTGGTTCAAACGGCCGAGTTGTTCGTTCGGTGACGCTGCATTACGTCCGAACAAATTTTGCCATCTGCGGATGAATGAATGTGGTGCAGCCAATCAATGGGAATCATAAGCGAATGAATACCGAATCACCCGCTATTTTCTGTCACCCGCACTGATGACAATCCCAGAATCATTCATCGCTTCCGTATTCCACTCATCACGGCAACCGCTAGCCGAGAAATTGCCCTCTTCTTCTGCGACATCCTTTAGGTTCCACTTCAGTTCAGGGGGGCTAGCTCGACCATGGTCAACAGAGTTTGCAGTATATTCACACCTTGACGGTTTCGGGTTGGCAATACCTGCCGAGAGAGTCAAGCGTCGGCCCACGATCAGACCGTCCTTAGATATTCCACAGCCGTCTGAGTTCACGACGCACCTTTCGAATGTTTAGGCGTGTGCCCACTTAGCAAGCTGCAATGTTTCATGCTGCTTGCTAACCCCCACTAATGTATTCCCTGTCGCTGCTGCTTGCGCGATCCAAACGTTTTCGGTTTTCCTGCGGCTTGGGGCGAAGTTGGACCCAAAAAGCATGGGCTCGCCTCAAGCAGGAATCGGTTAGATCGACACACAACCCGAGCGGGACACTCCGGAAGGCGTTTCAACTGCGGACGAGGGACGGCAAACCCATTCAGCAAGAGCCCGCGATGTGAGTCAATGCACAACTGGTTGTTTGGCGTTGACTATTATTCAATTCTACGACAGTGCAAATTGAAAGGGTTGGTAATGATCCAGTCAATAGCTGTTCCTGGCGTCATGTATGGTAGCATCTTCGGTTGTCATCACTGGCAATGTCATGGTCGTGCGAAACCTTTGATACCCTTGCTTCATATCATTGCTGTGCATTGATATAAGTATACCGACACCTATACGAATCATTTCGCAAAAACCTGGCTGCGTACCAGCCTCGAACCAAATATATGTAGACTATATGATACGGGTAGGATGTTAAAGAAAACATTGATGTTTATATAGTCCGAGTGAAAGTGTTGGGGAATCTCGGGCAATGATTGCTCTGACACGCTCCTTCGCCGTGCAGCTCGTTTCACATGTTGAGCAACACCCAACCATTTGCACTTCAACACTGATTTTTCACACAGCCTGGGGAAGCGATTCGCTGTCGTTCGCCAAGTTGAGCTGTGGTGGGAACAACTGGTGGCGGATGTGATTACGCATCGCCTTGGTGCGGTTGCAGTTGCTACTCCAGCTGAAGCTGCTCAGAAAGGAGATCTACAAAATGTGCGCCACCATGCCACGGTGGCTGCTGCTGCTGGTACTGCAGCGGCAGGCGGTCATGAGTCGCCAGCAGCATCTCTGGTAGTCGGTCTGCGAGACGGTCGACATATGTAGTCTCCATCGAAAGAACGTAGAGCGCGCCCGCTCTCAGTGTTTGAATTTTGTAGTTGTTTCCGGACCGTTTTGCCCCCAGCAATGAATCCTGTTGTATTCTTATTCCTTACCCAGATGATCCAATGGAAGTATTGGATTTGGTTGGGTGGGGTCACCCACACTCTCTACAGTTTTCCCAAAGGGCCCATAGGAGTCCCATGGGTGACCCATGGGCAACAAACGACCCATGGGAGTCCCATGTGCGGCCCATGGGTACTCTCGGAAAACTGTAGAAAGTGTGGGAGACTGTAGAAAATGTGGGAGACTTCCCACGACTGCCGTTTCATTGAAGCCGACATAAACACAATATTCGACTACTGCAGTCAGCGCTGAGTATGTATATGGTCGAATGGTTCGATTTCGGCTTCAATGGTTTTCTGCAACGAAGTTCACTGGCACTGTAGACTATGTACCGTAGTCGACGGTTGTTTTGGATGGACTCGACATGGGCTATGGTGCCTGGTGAGAACAAGGGTCGATGTCCAACTCAGCTTTTACAAAATATGGGCTTGTTTCTCCTTCTAGACTGCGATAGAGCCGGACGAATGGTGAAGACGTTGTGGCCCTTGTCGGGTATGGACAACAGAAACCGACCCCGTGGGGCTCTCTCACCTTTTGTGACCCCTCCCTCTTCCCCGATTGGCCTCCCCCATTCCTTCCAGAAAACCATAAGAAGTTCTCATCGAACTGGCGGCGTTGGTCTACGCCCAGCGAAGGAAGCGCAACGGGGATAGGGGGATTTAGTCAACATTCAAACGGCTAGACACAGTATTCTTCCATTCTTTATTGGATGGGGCGGTGTGTGACCTTCCCGTTGCCGTCGCCTGTTTTCCTGATTACTGCAAGTACTGGTGTGTTTTTACTTGTTGTTTTTGCCACGGAAGGCGTCGTCATGTACATTGTTTGCACAACATTTGAGGCACCTCATGAGCGCTCAGAGGTTGCACCAGGACACATCATGGGTCGGCTCGCGAGATGCCATGAGGTGGCTCAGAGGGGCCCATGAGACCCCATGGCACCTCACGGCCACTCATGACGACCCTCATCAGACGACTCATGAGCCGACTCATGAGACGTTTCGCGAGGGTCGTCATGAGTCGGTTCATGAGGGGTGTCATGAGTGGCCGTGAGATGCTCCATGGGCCCTTTTGAGGCGTTCCACGAGACGTCACGGGACGTCTCAGGAGCTACCATGACACATCTTGTGGGACACATTCTGAGCGCTCATGAGCGCGCACGACCGCTCGTGACAGCTCATCACGGCTCGTGAGCGCTCATTGGCGCTCATGACAACTCATGACGGCTCATGACCGCTCAGCACCGCTCATGGGCGCTCATGCACGCTCATGACAGCTCGTCACGGCCCATGACTGCTCATGACCGCTCGTGACCGCTCATCACGGCTTATGAGCGCTCATGAGCGCTCAACACCGCTCATGGGCGCTCGTGAACGCTCGTGACCGCTCATCACGGCCCATGAGCGCTCATGACAGCTCACGAGCGTTCATAACAGCTCATCACGACTTACAACCGTTCATGAGCGCTCATGACAACTCATGGCCGCTCATCACCGCCCACAACAGCTCATACGCCCTCATAACAGCTCACGACCGCTCTTGGGCGCTCACGGGCACTCATTACAGCTCACGACCGCTCATAACCGCTCATGGGCACTCATGACAGCTCACGACCGCTTACGACCGCTCATGAGCACTGATGACAGATCGCGAGCGCTCATGGGCGCTCATGACAACTCGTCACGGCGCATGACAGCTCAACACCGCTCATGGGCGCTAATGAGCGCTCACCACCGCCAATGAGCACTCTTGAGTGCTCATGAGCGCTAATGGGTACTCATGACAGCTCACGAGCGCTCATGAGCACCCATGGTACCTCATGACAGCTCATGACCGCTCATGACCGCTCATGACCGCTCATGACCGCTCATCACACGGTATCAAACCTCATGGCAGGTCATGACAACCCACGACAGCTTTGATCATGCTTATGTCAGCTCGTGACACCCCATGACACCCCATGACACCTCACGACACCCCAAGACGCCTCATGGCGCCTCACGAGACCCCAAAGGGGGCGTGGTTGTACGCTGTGGACCTCCTTGACGCAGGGCACTCTGTATGGGATGT